CCAGGGCCGGGGGGGCGGAGGGGGCGGGGGGGGGGGCCGCCGTGCAAGGCTGTCGTGCGCACGAGAGACCTCCCTCGGAGGCGAGGGGGGCGAACATCATCTCTCTCCGCCATGCATTGGGGTGGGGGTGGGACCTGGGCTCGGCTGCGCGCCTCCTTGCCCCGCTCCAGCGGAGGGGGGGAGGCGGCGGGAGGACGGGCCTCCCGGGGCCCCTTGGCGCACCGCTCCGGCTGAACGTCATTGGCCGCAAAAAGCTGGACAGCTGGTGACTCGGCAGCTTGCAAGCCACCTTTTCCTTGCTTTTAAATGACCGGTGGGGGGGGGAGGAGGAGGAGAGTGACCCTCCCCGCCTCTAAAAAGAGCCGCCCTCTGCAACACAGGGGGATGCAACCCTCGCCCAGGTGAAAGGTGTGTTCCTGGGAGCCCGTGCTCCCTCTAAGCTGTGGGGTCTGGTGAGCAAAAAATCCACCTTGCGAGCTACTGCTGGCATCGAAGCTCCATCAATTAGTCTGCTCTGGAGCCCCGTCCTTCCTGAGCTGAGGCAAAAATGTGTGAGCCGGAGGCTTAAGAACTGTGAGCTGGCTCACACTCACTCAGCTTAGAGGGAACGGCTGAGAACTCTGCAGAGTCCTTGTGTGTGTGTGTGGGGGGGTGATGGCTGCCCCTCTGAGTGAGGTCACCTGATGTGATGTGGGGGGGGGAGTTTTCCTTCTCAGGGGCAGGGATCAGAGCCCCCCCCCCTCTCTAGCAGTTGCTCACCTGCCTGGCCATTCTGACCCCTCCCTCCCCCCCCCTCCAGGACGATGCTGGGCAAAAGCCGGAAGCGCAAGCGGAGCGAGGAGGAGGAGGGGGAGGAGGCGGGGCCTGCCTCGGCCACGCCCTCCAGCGCCCTCTTCAGCATCTCCGTCTCCAAGCTGCACCAGAGCCTGCAGCGGGGGGAGCCAGACCTCCGCCACCTTGCTGGGCAAAAGCCGGAAGCGCAAGCGGAGCGAGGAGGAGGAGGGGGAGGAGGCGGGGCCTGCCTCGGCCACGCCCTCCAGCGCCCTCTTCAGCATCTCCGTCTCCAAGCTGCACCAGAGCCTGCAGCGGGGGGAGCCAGACCTCCGCCACCTGGTCCTGGTGGCCAACACCCTCCGGCGCCTCCGGGACGCGACGGAGCCCTCCGCCCCCGGGCCACAGCCGCCTCCGGGCAGGGGGTCCTGGCTGGACGACAGCGACCGGGGTCCTGGCGGGAGACCTCCCCCCTTGCTGCCGCCCCCCCTCGCCCCTGTGGACCAGCTCCTGCTGTCGGACATGGACGCCTCCGTCTTCTCCTCGATTCTGGAGGATTTGACCAGCACGGACGGCTTCAGCAACCCCCTGCGCCCGCCGGAGGCCCAGCCCGAAGACCGGCTGCTGTGCGGGCTGAGCCCGGAGCCCGGAAGGACAGCGCAGCCGGGCCTCGGCCCCCTGGAGCTCCTGGACCCCGGGGGGGCCCTGCTGGAGGAGGGCCTGGACAGCGTTTTCGAGGACATCGACACCTCCATGTACGACTGCGACCCCTGGGCCCCCGGCAAGGAGGCCTGCCCCGGCACCCAAGCGGCCAGGCAGGAGCTGGCGGACTTGGACTACCTCCTGGACGTCCTCGTGGGAGCCGAGGCGTTGTGAGGACTCAAGCCGGGGCGCACCGCACGGAGGGGAGTCCCCGTCTCTGCTGGCCTCTGGACTCAACGGTCTCTTGTCCTTGGCACCCCGTGTGTGTGTGTGTGTGGGGTGTCCGGTTAGAATGCGGGTTGGTGAGGCTGGGCCTCTGGGCATGGACCAGTGGGGTGTGGGTGTCTGGCCCACTGTGGTCGAACCTGTTTGCCGGAGACAGACAGGCGAGCTTTGCGCAAAGGCGGGCAACCGTTTGTGGAGGTTCAGCCTGGGGGAAGGTGGGGGAGTAGCACAGGGGTGTCCTGGCCGATGTTCCCTCTGTATTAAATGAGCCCCCGCTCCCCCGCATGGCTTAAAGGGACCACTGGTCCTGATGCTCCCTCTGAGCTGCGGGGTCTTGTGAGCCAAAACTTCTACTTTGTGAGCTACGGGCATTGAAGTTGTGAGCAAGCGATTCGGCTGCTGCATAAATTAGTTGGCTGTGGAGCCCATCCTTCCTGAGCCAAGACAAAAAGTGTGTGAGCCAGAGGCTGAATAACTGTGGGCTAGCTCACACTAACTCAGCTTAGAGGGAACACCGGGCTCCCTCCTGGCCCTTCCGACCAGCATCCCCTGCACATGCTCACTCGCCCGCCGGCTCCCTCTGCTGCACCCAGCAAGGCAGGGCTTAGAATCCTCCTGTTCTTGTCCCATTCACGTTCAGTCCTAAAAGGTAGGCCTCCTTGGCTGGTTAGCACAAAAGCCTCTGCCTTTGGGGATAGGAGGCCTGGGGCTCAGTGCCCCACCTGGCCACGGACTGATGACTGGGGGAAGAAGAAGAAGAAGAAGAGATTGGCTGTATACCCCACCCTTCACTACCCAAGGGAGTCTCAGAGCGGCTCACAAACTCCTTCCCCTCCCCACCACAGGCACCCTGTGAGGCAGGTGGGGCTGAGAGAGCTCTTGACAGAAACTGCCCTTTTTCAAGGACAGCTCTGACAGAACTACGGCTTGCCCAAGGCCATCCAGCCATGTGCAAGTGGAGGAGGAGAGGGGAATCAAACCCAGTTCTCCTAGATTAGAGTCCGCGCGCTCCTAACCACGACACCAAACTGGCTGTCTGACCCTTCCGTGGCTGTCTGATGCCACAGGCGACATGCAAAGGCAGTGACCTCTGGCCCTATCCCAGCATGCTGTGCCTCCAGGGTGAGCTCCCGTGTGGGACTGGCTCTTTACCTTCTGATTCCCGCTCTAAAAGTGTTCTCCCTTAGTGTCTGGTGTCCCCGTGCTGGAGAATGAAGGCGCAGAATGGTTTGCCCTGTTGCTGGCGGGGGGTTTGCCCACTGGCTGTGCTTTTCACCTAAAGAACTCCCTGCCAACAGACTCATGGGGAGGGGGGGGGGTCCCATCAGCTGGAAGACCTGCAAGCCGCTCTTCTTCCCTTCCCCCCTCCACTGGGCACCTGCCTGGTAGTTTTTGTCCGGGCAGGAAGCTGCAGGAGGAAGTGTGAGCCTCTCCCACGGGATGACTCGTGCCCGGGGCATCCCGCCTGGCTGGTCCAGATTCCTGGCTTAGGACGTCCTTGCCACCCACACACCCACAGCAAGAATCTGGCTGCGCTGGCCTTTGCCAGCTCTTCTCAGTGTGCGGAGAATGTGATGGGTCGCAGTGCTCCCTCTAAGCTGTGGGGTCCTGTGAGCCGAAATTCCACTTTGTGAGCCACGGGCATTAAAGTCGTGAGTGAGCAATTTGGCTCCTGCATATACTAGTCTGCTCTGGAGCCCCACCCTTCCTGAGCGAAGGCAAAAATGTGTGAGCCGGAGGCTAAAAAACTGTGAGCTGGCTCACACGAACTCAGCCGAGAGGGAACACCGGCCAGGCGGGAGAAAGGTGGGGTGGGTGGCCTCGGGGGCAAAGGGTCCCAGGGGATTAAATTGAGGGGGGGGCAGAGAGGCAGCTTGGGTGGTCAGGCGCAGAGGAGAAGACTGCTCCTCTGCCTCCAAGCAGTAGTTAGAAGGGGCCACGCTAGGCTCCGGTGTCCCAATGCAAAGGCCTGCAGCCTGGACCTGCCGACGGGCGGGCTGTGAAGGTACAAGAGCCCTCTAGGCCTCGTGATTGCCCCAGGAGGGCATGTGGGGATTCTTCTGCCCACTCCCTGGCTAGGGGCTGTCTGCTGTGTTCCCCTTCCAGCCCGTCCCCTGCCTTGAGAGTTTGCAGAGATCTTTTCCCGCCTCTTCCAGGGAAGGATCAAAAAACCAAACAGGGAAATAACACAGTACAGAATAACCAAAACCCAAAATCAACTGTGTACAGAGATATCAGAAGTATTTGCAAAATACTTTATATATACAGTGTCAGACCAGTAATTACAACGATATTATGACAATTACAACTTCGAATAATATAAAACAATCAGGTCATGAAAACAGTCCAAAGTAATCCAAAATAAACAGAAGCGCTTCAGATAAAGACCGTTAGAAGAAGAAGAGATTGGATTTATATCCTGCCCTACACTGCCCTTCACAAAGGTGTCTCAGAGGGGCTTACAAATTCCTTTTCCCTTCCCCTCCCCACAACAGGCACCCTGTGAGGCGGGCGGGGCTGAGAGAGCTCTTGACACAAACTGCTCTTTTTCAAGGACAGCTCTTGTCAGAGCTACGGCTTGCCCAAGGTCATCCAGCCAGGTGCAAGTGGAGGAGGAGTGGGGGAATCAAACCTGGTTCTCCCGGATTAGAGTCTTAACCACGACACCATTAGAATGTAGACACTTTATCAGCCTGATGTCTTCAGGGATCAGTTCTCATCACACCTGTGTCATTAGATGTCGGTTCAAGGCTTGCTCACGCGTTGCCGGCTTTCTACTCGCGTTTTGCACAAAGCTTTTTCAAAAGCCAAGCCAACAGTCTCCCAGTTTTCTTTAGAATAACGCTTTCAGCGGGGGACCTCCATCTCCCATGTCAACAATAAAGATAGAGAATATCTTAGACCAAATATTTTGCACCAGAGTTCTGCCCCTGTTGCAGGGCAGGGGTTAATCCCGCCTCAGCACAACCTATGCTGCTGCTAGTGAGGCCGCGCCTGCCCTGGCCACTGGGTGGCAGCACAAAACTTCCATAAAGGGCGTTCGTAAGAAAGAGGGAAGTGAAACCGCCTTCCCAGCTGCAGGGCTATAGGGGAGAAAGAGCGTCCCGTCTTCACGGAGAGCTGGCATTGGGAAGGAGGACTTCTTGGAGTGGCAAGGGCACCCGGTGGGTTAAGAAGCTGGCATGAGATGACGGGGGGGGCGGTCTGCTGCTGTCCTGGCGCTGCACCTGTTCTCTGCGGGGTGTCCGAAATACGAAACACGCATGCCCCCCCCCGTACGTGTTTGACTAGCACGGCTTTGGTCTGTTGGCCTTCCCGCTTGCACATCTTGGCTAGTGTTTTTTGACCTTTGTTGCCGGGAATATTCATGGGGACGGGGCGGGGGGGGTATCCGAGAGGCTGTAAGGCCCTGCATGTGGATGTGCATCGTCTTGTTGGTGGCAGAGGAACTTCATGAGGTTTTGAATCTGAGTCCTTGCGGTAGAAACTTTTGTGAGCCAGCGTCCTCAGTCAGGACATGCTTCTGCATGGCTGCCAGTTGGCAAGAGTGATTTTTATATCCAGAGCTAAAAACAGGAGGAGGAGCAGGATATTCGACGAGTCTTGAAATTCCAGGGGAAAGTGCACATACAGCTGTGAGGCCGTCTAATGCTAACCGGTTTCCATTTTTGATGCCTGTGGAGCAATGCTCTCTACCCAGGAATTCACCCTGGTATTTCAGTCGTTATGACTACATTCTGCATGTGCTCAGAAACCCAGCTGCAGTCTTGCTTATGCTAATGACTCTGGCCGAAACAAGACAGTGCCTTACCACCCCACACCCTGCAGGAAGGTGACACCCAGGGACAGAGAGGGAAATCGCCAAAGAGTTTGAATGTATTCTCTTCCCTTGTGGGATGAGAAGATCTGAGGCCTCTCCTAAGGTAGAATACAAATACTCAGGAGGACACAGAGGAGCACCTGTCTTCCATTTCCTCTTCAGTCCGGAGCGGCTCCTTGGATGGGCAGAGGCCATGTGGCAAGGGAGAAGGGGAGAAGTCCCAACAATGAGAACTAAGGTAATGCTGAACTTTATTGCAGCTTCAAGCAAGACTACCCCGTCCTATGTAGACATCATTAGGATAAGTACCGAGTGTACGGAAAGGGGACGGTTTGTTCTCACCTTTTCTTTGTATCCTTGCTCAGCCTAAATAAGTTGTATTCTTTTCATTAATTTATTAAACTTTCTTATATTTTGAATGCCGTAAGCCTGATCTTTGGAAACACTCCTGTGCCTGTTTGTTCTTGCTGTCTGAAGTGCAGTTAATGGGAGGGGCAGCAGGTGCGCTCACCACCACCCATGGAGCACAACACCTCAAAACTGTGAAGCTGCAATGGGTTATCCCCACACTTGTTTGTCGGAGCAAAGCAGGAAGTGGGGTAACTGGACGGGATCTCTAGGATGCACCTCAGGTAGCAGGAGATACTCTTGGAAGAAGAGGAGGAGATTGGATTTATACCCCATGACCCTTCACTACCGAAGGGAGTCTCAGAGCAGCTTACAAACTCCTTTCCCTTCCCCACAACAGACACCCTGTCGGGTAGGTGGGGCTGAGAGAGCTCTTTCAGTGGGTGTTCCCGAGTTTGTTTTGGGCACCCCCGAGGAGCATGGGAGAGTGGTGGCCCGGATGAGTGGAGACTCGGGATAGTAGTGCAGGGTTTTGACCTCCCCGGACTAACCCGAAGGAACATGGAGGGCTTGTGAGTTGTTTCCTTCACAATGTCCTCCATCTCCCATGTCAACAATAAAGATAGGGAATATTTTTGACCAAATATTTTGCACCAAAGTTCTGCCCCTGTTGCAGGGCAGGGGTTAATCCCGCCTCTGCACAACCTGTGCTGCTGCTAATGAGGCCGCGCCTGCCCTGACCACTGGGTGGCGGCACAAAACTTCCATAAAGGGCGTTCGTAAGAAAGAGGGAAGTGAAACCGCCTTCCCAGCTGCAGGGCTATAGGGGAGAAAGAGCGTCCCGTCTTCACGGAGAGCTGGCATTGGGAAGGAGGACTTCTTGGAGTGGCAAGGGCACCCGGTGGGTTAAGAAGCTGGCATGAGATGACGGGGGGGGCGGTCTGCTGCTGTCCTGGCGCTGCACCTGTTCTCTGCGGGGTGTCCGAAATACGAAACACGCATGCCCCCCCCCGTACGTGTTTGACTAGCACGGCTTTGGTCTGTTGGCCTTCCCGCTTGCACATCTTGGCTAGTGTTTTTTGACCTTTGTTGCCGGGAATATTCATGGGGACGGGGCGGGGGGGGTATCCGAGAGGCTGTAAGGCCCTGCATGTGGATGTGCATCGTCTTGTTGGTGGCAGAGGAACTTCATGAGG